TAAGTAGAAGGGTACTCAGAGTCCCAAAGTGTGAGGCACTTCGTGTTCCTATTATCATTAGGTTTCATGCAGTTTTTCAATTCCATCCTGATATGTGGCATGAACTACTGAGAACTCAGCACACTGTCAGCCCTTCTCTATGTGTGTGTCCACGTTCCAAGTCAGATTCCTTGTGGAATCCTCATACTGTGTGGACAAAAAAGCCTATTGTCGAGCAGCCGATACGTGTTACTTCATGGACTTTGGCATTTTCATTTTAAATTTCATGTTCCTTGTTTGTGTTTCTAATTATTACAGAGAAAAACAACAGCCCTGATGCAGAGGGACAGATAGCCACTGGACCTGTGAAAAGGAAGAAGCCAGACAGCGTCAAGCCCCGGGTAAGTTTTCTCTTCATGAATGCTAGCACAGACTTGAAAGTACTTTCAGTGACTACAGGGAACATTTATGCGGGATAGCTCTCTGTAAGGCATTAAGAGGGAATGTCTACACCATATGCTCTGGATACTTTGAGATTATTTAAAATGTAAAATAAGTTCTGAAGCATTATGTAAAATCATAACAAAAATGTATTTTTACCTAAATTCTGAAGCACATTGAAATCACCTGTATTAATCTTTTCATAACTTACTTGCGATAATGTAGATAAAAATATTTTTCCAACCTGGAATTACTGTACTTGTCTATACAATTAAAACCAAATCCAATATCTTTTGAATTCATGGATTAACCTAGAATTATTATTGAGATGACATAGTATATGAAGATATATGAGCATGTAATAAACAAGAGCTGATTTGCGATTCACAATGGATCATTCATACTGAAAAACACCGTTCAGCTGAAATGAATTCAGAGGTTTAGCTCATTCCTCTGACAAATAATTTCTTATATCACATTCTATATTCACACTGTATATGTACAGTGACAGTGGAAATTACATTTTCTACAGAATTCAAACATGAAGAGACAAAGGAATGTTTCATTAAAGCAAATATTATATACAATATCAAATGAGAAACCCTTTTCCCTGACTAATCAATCAGGAAATAGTATAATGTGCAGTCAAAATGGACAATAAATGTTAAGATATTTAAGAAATATTTTACAAAATTCTCTGAAATTATATATGTATGAATTGCTGTGTTTTAAATCAAACTAATATTTCTACTTAAACTGCAGGAAAATGCTCAGTGTGAGGAGATACATTTTGAAGGCAATCTCTGTAATAGACCCTTCAAACATCAGTCAGAATTAAAACAAAAGACAACTGAATCTGGAAATGAACTCTGCCTGTTGGGAACAAACTTCAACCAATCTGCTAAATTTTGTCGAAATCAGGAAATACACACTGGTAAAATGCTTTATAAGTGTCATCAATGTAGTAAAATGTACAAGCATTTAGGTAGTCTGAAAACTCATATGAGAATGCACACAGGAAAGAATCCATATGAGTGCTCTGTATGTGGGAAAGCCTTCAATAGGCAATATGATCTTAGAAGTCATGAGAGAATACACACTGGAGAGAGATTATATGAATGCAGTGTGTGTCAGAAATCATTTGCTTATTGCAATTACCTTAAAATTCACATGAGAACACACACAGGGGAAAAGCCATATGAATGCCATCTGTGTGGGAAGGTCTTCACTCAATCATGTACCCTTACTCGTCATGAGAGAACACACACAGGAGACAAACCATATGGATGCCATCTGTGTGGGAAGGTCTTTGCTCATTCATCTTACCTTACTATCCATGAGAGAACACACACAGGAGACAAACCATATGAATG